TTGACCACTACCCTCTGGATGTGACCATCTAACCAATTCCTCACCCACCGGACAGCCCACCCATCAAATCCATCCCTCTCCAGTTTAGAGAGAAGGATGTTGTGGGGGACCATGTCAAAGGCCTTACAGAGGTCCAGATAGACGACATCTGTAGTATAATGTAATAAATTAAAGATGTGACTTGCACACGGTCGCGAAGGCTGTGGCTGAGCTGGGGAGGAAGCCAGGGTTCTTGATACTGTCCCATGACAGACAGACCGCTGACCTGAAGGTGCCGTCACTCGGAGGACACTTGGAGCAAAAAAGAGAACACACAGCCTATCTTCTGCCTGGCCCCCTTCAGTTTTGTATGGTCTTCCTTTTCATTGCTGTCTTTAATGCACTATCCTCACATCCCACTCCTACAGCAGGGCAGCTCTACTCTTTCCATGGTAAACATGAGGAATGTAGGTAACTGGGATGGGAGAGAACTTGGTTTTGCATGTCCGCTGAGGACAGAACTGTAGCAGGCTCAAATCCATGTCAATCTGCTTAATCCGACTCCAGCCGGGGTCATTACAGGCTGGGATCTGCAGTGGGGTTTGAGTAACTCAGGTGCCAGAAAGGCAGATGGTGATGAGGTCTTTGCTCTTGGATTTCTTGAAAGGACTCCACCCCATTCAGTATGTTTCCTCCCTAGTTTTGGGAAGCACTGAAGGAATTCCCCATGATTTTTTCAACAGAATTTAAACAAAGAAGCTGACTAAAATGCCGTAACCAGCTTTCTAACCAGAGACGCAGATAAAGTGACCATCTGGCCTTGCATAATGACTGCAGTTCCCCCTCTATCCTTTTTCCTTCTATCCCCCGAGTTTGTCTTCAAGAACTAGGAGGCAGACACTGTACACAGCTATTCTTGAAGGCCCAGAAGCTATTGCTTATTTCTGCTCATAACAGCAGCCACTGTGTATGGGCTTTTATGAACAGTCATGGAAATGTCTCTCGCAGATAATGTCTATCTATATATCCTTCCCGTGCATTTCTAATCGGCTTTTATCTCTTCCCAGTACCATCCTACAATCCACCTTTTTCCAAGAATCTTGGCTGAATTCATCCCTATTCAATTGCAGCAGGAAAAGCCGATCCCTTCTGAGCCCCCAGCTGTGGCACAGCAGCTGAGGCACAAGTCCTTACTCCAGATGTTTGCTCATGTAGGTCACTGGGACTTCCCCAGCCCTTCCCTCCTTTCTCAGACATGCAGAGCCTGCACTGTGAACTCATGGGAGCCGGGACTCAAATATCTTGCCTCTAGGAATATCTACAGGAGGCTGCAGAAAGGACGAGTGTAATTGGTTCAGATAAACACCCTTTGGGTATAGCTAGTCCCTTAAAAGACTCGGACTGACAAGTGCCAGGGCTCTAACACCGCGTTTGTCTACCCATGACACACACCTGAGACCCTGCTGCACAGACGGTATATCACTTTCGCCAAAGTGCCGTATGTGCGTGTTATAAAATGCTTAAGAACTGAGAATAAGCAACATTGCATTAAAAGGATGATGTTGGGGTCCCGTTTCTAAGTTTCAGACAAGGTGGGCAGGTTCAGCCCCCCACAGGTATTTTGTGGGGGTGGGTGCATGCGTGGATACAGGTGCCTAAGGGTATGTCTGCCCTTCAGCCAGAGCTGCCGCGCAGGGAGGAAAGGCAGGTTTGATCTCACTTTGAATTGATTCCCTCTTGTACGCAGCCTTGATAGTATAATGAGGCCATAAAGCGAATGGGGCTCTAATTTAGTCATTTGAACATGGTTTTGTTCTGCCTTCGTGATGGGAAGAGGTCTCCGCATTAGCCTGAAATGGGCTCCATTGCGGTGATGCAGTGGCAGTGATTTCACGAGGCATGGGAAGGACACCAGTCTTGTCTCACAAGGGGCATTGCCAACTGATGTCCCCCCTCTCTCCCGCACTGAGACATGCAGGCAGAGCAAAATAACAGAGCATTCAGTGTGTAAACAGTGAAACTAGAGAGAAGGAAGGTGAAAGGCAAACTTCAAAAGTACCAGCTAGCTCTTTTGTCCTTTGTGGGAGGCTACTGAGGCCAAAAACAGGGAGATGGTGGGCATGAATTACAGAACAGAGCAAGCTCAGAGGCAGGAGAGGAGGAGTGCTCAGAGGCTGAGGATAGTCATGCAGCCCATCCTCTGTAAAAAAAAAGAAAAAAGCAACCCTTAAAGACCTACAAAACCGTTGGAACCACATTGCCAGCAAAGCCTAAATCCCGGTCACCTACGTCGCTAGGAGCTGGGTGACAAACCTGCAGGGTGTCTACCCTCCTCCACATTTTCAATGAGATTGGACCCATGCAAATAAAACCTTTCAAGTTT